TGGCACGGTTTTTTATATCATTCGCCGATTAGAACAAATTCATTTTGTATTAAAGACCAAGTTCTGTAATGAGTTTTCTTCCCAGGTAAATAATTAAGTACATTGTTTTGTTTCCCATTCTGCAATTAATATCCTCCATATATATGATAGTCTTTGCTTAACGAAGAGTTTGGAGACTCGTGGCCTTGCCGTTGCACGCTATCTTAAAAATGCAAGACAAGAGAAGTGTTTTACAGCGACAGCATCAATCATGCGAGCATTTGACACGCGGCTTGCTTCATTATGATTTTTTACTGTCGTGTAATCGATATCTGAATCTTAGGAAGCCGAAACCCGACTCGGGTGTCAGACTTGTATCAAGGACGAGTGTGAAGCTGAGATACCGCGTCTACAGAAGACGAGTCAGGTATTGAACAATAATGTCGAGATATCGTGCCAAGGTGAGACACAAATATATGCCGGTATATTTTCACGATTTTTATATCAGGAATAAAACCAGCCGATATTTATAAAAGGTGAACCACTACTGGTTATTGGATCGATTGGCTATGTGGTCTTAATTGGCGCGCATGATTGTCATTTGATCATACTCGTTGATCATCATCATCGATTGATTAAATCTCTTAAGATAGTACAAAGTAATTTATAAGCTCACGTCGTCCTTGATTATCTACAAGCCGTTGTTACATCAACAAAAGTTTTTGGAGCTCGCATATAAAATAAACTTAAATACACAAAAAAATAATAATTTATTTTTTTTTCTATTCAGTTATATCTATATCGTCAGTTCTATCTTCAGACCGTTTATAAGCCTTTTGATATAAAGCCTTGTTGAAATTGAGATGATAAAACTTGATATTGTGACAACGTGTTGTGACCTTAAATTAGGCGACAATTATATGCTCGTACTTAAACCTTAAACGAAATAAACCTGCTACTGGTCAATAAAAATTAAGATGAAGGAATTAACGTGAGGGTTGGTTCCTTCACCTGCTGATTGGAATATGCAATGATAGCAAGAACTGAGGCTAGGTAAAGCCGTTAAAACTTCAAGAATGGATTAAGAAAATAAGTATTATTGTGAATTCTACTATTTTCATAAACCCTTTAACACAGGTGTCGAAAACTTCTTAATAATACTAAAAAAATCTTTCAACATATCAACTAGGCAGCTAAAACTGAAGAAGGAAAATTTATCGGCAGCTTTCAATCAATTTTTTGATGAAATGATTGATACTTTTAAACATAGGCTTCAAGGACTCAAATTACACTTCCTACGATTTCGATGCCTGCATACCCACTAGAAGTGGGTATGAGTGTGCATTAAAGCTGTGTTAGCAAATAATTGCAACAATAATTTAAGGAAATTATGTCAAGAATAGCAGTAATCAAAAATATCCTGCAGAAAGATACGTTAAGTAGCAAGATATAGTAGTACACATACAGTAAGATATATTGCTATATGCGTACGCGTATAGTAATCGCCTGAGGCAATCATTAAAGCTGTGTTAGCAAATAATTTCTACAGTTAATAAACGATATTATGTCAGAAATAACATTAAGGATAAATATACGGCAGTAAGATATAGTAGTAATATTTAGTAGTAGTACGCATATAGTAAGATATATTACTATAAACTTACGCGTATAGTAATCGCCTGAGGCAAGCAGGCATTATCGCGGTTCGTATCGGGTGGCCGTGGCTTGTACAGCGCGATAGCTGCCGCTGCCGATGTCAGGTGTCTTATTACGCTGCCGCCGCAGCAGCTTTCTATTTATAAGCTAGGTAGGAATAACATTACGAATAAGAGGCGAGACCATTTGCCATGCATTTAAAGTTTGCCCTCAGTTCATATAGAAACATCATTGGGGATACAATCATGGAACTTGCGCCACTTTTTTGCGCAGTAATTTATTGTTAAATATTTAATAAGCTACGTGCCTCACACGACAGTGTTCATCCTCATATTGAAGCCTTGCGTCGGTTATCAGTAACCTTCAGAGAACTCATGTGGGTTGGGCGGGTATTATTTATTCCAGCTTCCTCTGGACCAATTCTTGTTTAATTTCAAATACGTGCAGAAAACCCGGAATTGGACCTCATAATTTAGTGGCATATTTAGTCTATGCCCATCTCCACGATCCATCACGCATGCTCGCCCGGAATATTCAGGGTTCAGGCAACTGGGTACGTGTGGGACACCTCTGACTCTCCTCAATGTCCAGTTCACCCTCAAATCCACGCCAAAAATAATCATTATGTTTCCCACTTTGTTAAGTTTTGGAATTGAATGCAGTTTATCCTTGGGCGCTCAGTTCTGTTCGTCATCCTAGGCCTCCTGAGACGTGCTAGATACAATCCCTCCATGTCCGCGCGCTGGTAAAGTTGCTGTCTTCGTAAGCATTGCCGTGTTCAGGTTGATCCTTCGTATGCCCACGCGATGGTCAATTTGGCTTCCTTCGAAAGCCCACGCGGTGGTCAAGTTAGTACCTTCGGAAGCCCACGCGGTGGTTAAGTTGGTTCCTTCATCTGCCCACGCGGTCCTCAAGTTGGTTCCTTCATCTCTTCATCCACCCACGCGCTGGTCAAGTTGATTCTTTCATCTGCCCACGCGATGGTCAAGTTAATACCTTCATCTGCCCACGCGATGGTCAAGTTGGTTCTTTCATCTGCCCACGCGGTGGTCAAGTTGATGGTTCCTTCATCTGCCCACGCGATGGTCAAGTTGGTTCCTTCATCTGCCCACGCGGTGGTCAAGTTGGTTCCACGCTGCACTCGTTAGCAATGTTAATCAGATGTCCCCTGGAGGGACACCCGTCATCTGCCGTCCGTTTTCATTGTCTCGCTCGCTGCAGATCGCAGATTTTTTTCGTCCGTCAGGCTTGCCACTCTTTGCTACGCACTTTTATCCTAATTTTAAACCATCTGCCGCCGCGTTTTGTTATTTTTTTTTATGTCAGATGCTCGTATTTTTCACGCACAGACTAATCTCGTATTTTTCCTCCTTCAAGCTACCAATTCACAAAAAGAAATTGTAACACATGTTTCACTCGGCGAATACTTCGTTTTAGTGGATTTGAGAACTATTCGTTCAAATCGGTAGGTGAGGGCACAAATATGAAGTCTTCAAAAATATGAATACATCACCGTTTAAAATGTTCGACCACTTGAAAGATTCTTCTCTGTTGTGAACCACTCGAGATTCTGTTCTGCCATGAGGGCTGAACGTCGAGTTTGCAACTCTGGCACGTGGTTAAGCTGGCCGAGGTTCTCAGGCGCGTGTTTGTAGAGGAAATAGAGGGCGTGTCGGTCCTGTGTTCACTTGGCAGGCGTTGTTTAGTCTGATAGTCTTACGCCACCACACAAGCATCGAGAATACCGTATCCGCGACCCTGAAGCCTTCTTTATATGGAAATTAGGTGTTGTTGAAGATGGGCCTGCTTATCTGTTTATGTCTAAGTACACTACATGAAATTTCAATGTAATTGTTAGTTATCGTTCTTGGTTGGTGGAATTGTTGTTATATTGCATACAATAAGTAAATATGAATTTGACTATTTTGATTCTTTTTGTACAATTTGTTAATGACTATTTTGGCTTACTTGTGATGTTGCATATTATTAGGAAAATCAGTTGTGAAGGTTGTGCTCACCTTGACCATGTCGTTCGTTAGCAAATCCATCTCGTGTTAGTGTGGTGGGCAGAAGAAAGGTCGCTGAGGCTGTTAGTGCATCATTCGTTTCACCGCTGATGGTCCATTTACTCCGCCTGAACATACAACTTCCCATTTAAAAATTATTCGTGGATAACCAGTGAGCATTCTGTGGCCGACCCTGATTCGCATGTATTTTTTCCCCAAGGGCCACATCATTGCTTGTCGGATCCATTAGACGGGTGGCCTCGAGCTTGCTTCCTTTAGGTCGCAACACAACACCGCTTCATTCTTTTACGACTTTCTTTACTACCATCAAAATGCTTCTGTTTCTCGACTCTGCTAAACTGAGGTTTCTTACTCTTTGGTTGATACTGTTGAAGATGTTGTTGTGTGATTAGACAAGTGTATTGATCATATCTTAATTTGGAGTGGGTTCTCATTGAAATTTGTCTAGAAGCAATTTTATTTCATTTAATTTTTATTAAACCTTATATGGTGATGTCTAGTAAGTGAACTTCCGATTGATGGAAGAAGTGTATGATTTTATCGCTTTGAACTTTTTTGTGTTTTTCTCGGAATAATAGTCGAATTTTATGAACTAAAACTGCAAAAAATTACAGTTGCTGAGTGCGTTACTTTTGAGGTTACATAAGTACAGATGTTTAACTTCTAATAAAGTGCCAAATAATCTACGTTATTGGTTTATGGAACTGTCTGTGAGGCATTATTCCATACTCGTAATTTGTTTACCACGTTTAGGTGTGTTTGTTTAAAGCCCGGTGGCAAAAATATCAATAAATGAGTGAAGGTTGAATCAAGAATTGATATTTTATTTTTAAGCTGAAAGTCATAAATTTTGGTTTTATGATTAGCAACGTGATTTGGGAAGACGAGTTCACTGGATTTTGGATGACAAGATTCGGTTTGATGAGATTCCTGATGGATTCGAGTACAGAATTCTAAAATCGCAGAGATTATCTGTCCTGATCAAGGCTGGCTTGGACGAAACTTGGAGAAAGTTCGCAAAAAATTTGAACGCAGTTCGCACAGAATTTTGGACAAAGTTCGGACCGAATGCAGACAAAATTTGCAGAAATCTCGAAACAAGGTCGAACAAAGTTTGGATAAATCTACCTGAATGACGGTATTCAACATCACAGGATTCAGATCAAAGGATTTAGGAATTTTTTTAACATTGCGAAGGTTTGACTTGATCTTGAATTATATTGCATTTTGTTCTAGTAATTTTTTCCAATACTGACTAACTTTATATTTATTTACTTGAGTTATCATGCAGCGCTGATCTTACCTTATTTTTTTACCGAATTTTTCTATCTGTTGCAGAGATCTCCAAGGAAACGACTTGACTGTCATCTACGACTCTGATCTGGCCAATCTTCGCCGACTTCGCATTCTGTAAGTAACAAATACACTTTACTATTGTAATATTTGTATCTAGGAAAATATGATTGAATTCTTTCTGTTGATATATCGAGTTAGAGGATTTATTCGAATGTGATATGGAAATATTGACAACGCTATACAGAATATTAGCTATAGCTATGAGGCTATAGCCTCATGCAGATTTATATACAGAAAATGGCAAAGGATCTAACCGAGTTGGTGTGACCAGTGTTAAAAAAAACTTATTCTCCCGAAAAGACGCAAACTGAATTTTGGTTCAAACATTACACTAAATTGGGCGGGAAGTGTATTTATGTGTAGGTTCCTTCATCCATGTGTATTTATGGGAGTTTGGGGACTGGAAATAAACGTCATATAGTTGATGTTCTGAAAAAGACCTCTGCGGGAACAAGCAAACATGCATTGGTACTCGTTTTACACGACTAGCGTTGGTATTATGTACGTATTAAAAATGTGTATCACCTCTTCCCATAATCAGGTACAAGCTTTGAACGTATTCAATGATCGGTTTCATGTCTCGCTGCGAAGGAATATGAGTTGATTAGGTACATTTTCTTTTCCGATATAATTTGGCCGCGAATACGAGATTTACTTGCGATGTCATCAGGAATGTAAACCTCAATATCGCTAGTATTTATGTGATGAATAACAACAGCTCTTGGCTTATTAGATGCAAGTTGTTTCGAAATATTCGTGCAAGACTCCTAAACTCGATTCAAGTATTGCCATCATGTCATGGCAATCCCAATTTCTGCTTTAACTAGGAACATAAATACCTTAGATATATTCGAGTTAATTTTTTTATTTTCTAATATTTAACATGCAATTTGAGGCAGATAAAAATGAATAAGTATCTGCATTCAAGAATTTTCGAACTGATGATAGAGCTGCACTCCGAGACGCTTTCTAGAAAGATACGGTATTTTTTTGTAGAATTTCCTTTGCTACAAACACTTCAGGAAACTGGTGTTAACGTATTTTTAAATTATTTTATTTATTACCTTATCTATAAATGTGTACTGTAATCTGGATGATCAACGCGTTCACGACTGCGAATTCAGAATTGCATGAACGAATTTTCTTATCTCGTCCGAGAAAGCTGGTCTCCGTGAACGATAATTCCATCAGGTTTTCTATACAGTTAGTTGAAATTCTAACGCAACAATTCATTAGCGTCTACTTACACAATTCTTATAAAATAAGGATTTTAATGGCGAGCCCCTTATTTTTTTTACCGTTGAAACGATTTTATCTAATTCATTGTTATTTTTTATTCAATATTATTATTCAATATTAAACTTTAAATGTATGAAAGAAGAAAATATTTGATTTAATAATAATAAATATGCCTGCCATTTTTCGGCATATCGATCTGCATATGAGCTCCCGCTTAAAGCGTGCTCTGAAATGAATGAAACTGTCCAAAATAGTTATGATCATTTTGCTTTTGTAGGTGCCATTTTGACCCAATTTGGCCCGAAAAAAGAGCTTATCCGTGCTACGCACACAAATTATGTTACTATTTGGACAAATTGATCCAGTTATTTTTCTGAGCATGGAGATGCTTGCCATTTGGTGACGCCCAATTTTTTTCCTTGCCTTGAGATGAATATGCTCTTGACGCAGCGCCACTACGCAGCTAGATAAATGCCTTATGATCTCTCGTTAGCGTTAATGTATTAAGAAATTTCATGACATAATTAGGCAATTATTTTTTGGTGAGTTAATGCCTTTTAATGATGTTTTTATTCGTTTAATTTCAATAATAGGCCTTCAATCGAATTTACCTAGAAGAACCTGTGAACAACTATACAACTTGTATAAAAGTTCCAGCGCCTCTTGAAGGTAAATATTGATTGAAACTTGCAAATCACCAGAAATGTGTAATAAACTTATACATGTCACGATGTCCTATAAGTTGTAATGAATTATTTGCAAGGTTCATTCCTTCCAAAAAGCTCAGTGCTTGGATCATAATTATAAATACATTACCTTTTCGATCAGGTGTAACGTTCAGGTACAGCTTATCTCGTAAAATGCATTTTTTTTGCTACATCTGAAGCGTGTCTGAAAATTTCCATCATTATCATTACGAGACCATTACAGATACTGCCATTGGATCGGTAATAGAAAAATTGTGAAATTTTCGCTTGCAATTAACATCACGACGTTCGCGTTTCTTACATTGTTGAGATTTTGTAAATTACGATATAGAAGTCATCGCGTCTGAGATTGATCAAAAACAACAATTATATTATTTAATTCGCTTAATAAATATCATTGTGTTTGATTTTTGAATAACCTGCAATCTTATCTTCAATTTTCAACGGATTTGTTAGTATTCAAACTTCGATTTGATGGACTTTCAATTGCGCAGTCAGGTCGGGAGGTGCTTGCTAACTGCCCGTTTCATTGGATAATTTTAAGGATTAACTTGACTTTGTGTTAGTATTTTATTATTCTGATTTGCCATTTCTTTTTTCAGTAGGAAAAAATCAAATGGCACAGGTGTTGCCTAGGCGGCGTTTACCTTTGAACAAAGTCTCGCTCAGCTTTATCAGTGGCACGTATTAAAATGTCGTTTAATATCAACTCGAGCAATAAAGATTTAAATTTGTTCAAGAGGCTGAAGCTTAATTAAGAATTTTTTTTGCTATCGCTCGTCTCGATCATCGAGTGCAGCTTCGACGGCGAATTCAAAACTAAGCGCTTTAATTAACGATCGATATATTAAGCAGTTTACACGCGGATACTTGAATAGCAGGTACATTCAGCTGTCACTGCGATGCTTCCAATTATTATAATTGCACGTTTTTTTATCTTAATTTATGGTCAGCATAATTTTTCAGGCACCTGATAAATTTCGGGCTGTTTTATAGACTGGACGAATTTCGTTTTTAAAACATCAATTTTGAATCGCATGTCATGTTATATTTTCTTAAATTTTGATGAATATATCGTTGGAGTAATGAATGAATAAAGGAACAATGAAGTGTCATTCTGTTGGATCAAATTGCCCATTTTCATTGCTATTATTTTATCGCAGCCACGGAGTTGGTTATCACTGACAAGGCGCTGCCGGATTATAGGTGTTTGTGTTGGGCTTCAGTGTCGTCGGTGCTGTTGACATGCGTGAAGAAAGTAACGGAATGTTTCTTATGTTCATAATAATAGCCAAATTATGGATTGCCTTCCGTTGGCCATGAGAGAGACGCCGTTAACCCGTACATCAATTTTAAGAAGGTAGAGGTAGGTCAACAATAGGTCGAGATTGCCGGAGACCCAAAGACTTCTCATATCGTCGTGCCCCATTGTCTGGGGCTGTTATCGAGCTTTGTTACACGTATTTAATCTACTGGTGAGATGTTGTATTCTTTCTTCTCTATGACCTGTTTCTCAGGCTAGAAACACGTAACGGTTCTACGTCGCTGTGGGGAATTATCGGTAATTTTTTTAAAAAATATAATCGAATTTGTAATTTTTCGTTATTGTATTAAACATACACTAATAATTTTTTAATCAAAATTCTTATATATTATCTCAGTTGGTTCAATTACAATGATAGCACTGTAGAGCTTTAAAGTTTTTTGTTTATTTTGTATGAATTATTTCAACGAAGTTTACCTAAGTATTAAGAAGAGCTCTATAGTGACGGTTTAAAATTTTTCATCCAGTTGTCATTGTTTAATTTGCACGGTATTTATTTTTATTCGGGTAAATAAATCTCAAAGGCATGAGACAGTTATTGGGTAAAATTTATATTTTATTCTGAGTAGCATTCACAAATTCAGTGCTATGAAATTCATCCTTGTGCACTTTGTATGCGTAGGCTCGATCGTTCGCAAAATGCATTAGGTACTGAAGTGCATAGCGTACGTATGTGTCGGCAGCCCTGAGCACAATTTCAGCTTTTGAACCTTGACAAGGACAACTTTATACCAAGCGTTTAATTCCATTCTTATCAGAATAGTAAGCTTAGCAAATTTTCGCTACCACTTTTTATTTTTGTCGGGAACACTCAAATTCACTCTCGTTAATTTATACCAGAGAAGATAATATTTTGTGTGTGTAGGACTGTCCACAGATATGCCTTGCTATCTAATTGATAAAGAAGTACGTTTTAAATACACATTCCACTGTATGAAATATGCGAAGTTGGATTATGCATGTAGGCCATCCTATGGTCACTGGTATCCTATGATTCTCTATTAGCTAAAGCGTCTCGCGAGCTCCAGGAAGAAATTCAATCGCGTGGGCGCATCTGGCGGCCAGCAATTTCCCGAGACGACGTGTAGTCGAATTTATCATGTTTGTAATTATCCGACTCGCCCCACTGCCATTAATGTTATGCATTGAGCAGCGGTAATAACCCCGCCCCCTCTGCTCTTAATGCTATGCATTGCACAGCAGTAATAACGTACAGCCAACTCTTAACGCTCAGTTCGGTTCTGCTGCAGCCTTTACTCATACTTGGAACTTGAAAACTGTAATTTTTCAAAATATTTTCAACTATTAGCCTGCCTCCGACAGTACTAATTCAATATATTCTAGAAGTAATAGATTAATAATAAGAGAATAATATAATTATTATATTTTAAGAATCATAGATGAGACTTTGGTGGCAAAGACATGATTTAATGTAACGGTCTTAAACTTTAAATGTAGCTAGTCTCTCGTGCCCCGAGTCATTTTCATTTTCGATCCTCAAAAGAAAATTTTTAATTTGCAGTTAAAGCGTTTAGGTTTTAATATGCTTATATAGTTACTGAACGTAGATTATAAAATTCTGAGCTATTATGGAATTTCGAGCACTATACAAGATTTACGTGGGTGATATAATTGCATCTTTATGTGTTACGTGTGGGCCGCGGCGTATCGGTTCGAGTAGTTGACTATTCTGACAGGAATAGAATTTAATATGTAGAATATAGTGATCCTATTATCTGCGGGGATAGTTGTCAACGGGTTAAAGGCAATGAGTTTCATAGAAC